ACCAAAAGATGTACGAGGCTTGTATGATTGTACAATACCATTATCTTCAACGTGAACGAATTTATAATCCTTGGAACCAGTTAAAACTACTACAGCTTCTATATTATTGCGTAGGTAATTGAAAACGGAGACGCGGATACCAATTTGTTCTCCTTGTTTACTATGAGTAGGCATTTCCACATTAATATAGAATGGCAAGATACCCATATATGCAATGGCTTTTGGCAGCATTCCAAAGCCCATATTTGGAGACATACCGAACGCTGTAACCATCCACAGAACTGGTCTCCTTGGAACGTCTATATTGAAAATGTATCTACCATGAGGACCAATATTGATATCTTTCCATAACCATACGTTTTCGTATTGTCTCTGTAACCTGTTAAACCGCCACTTTCTAAACTGTACAATGTCTGTGACATTTCTGCGCTCGCAGCCTACTTCATCAGTGCCATCATCGCAATCGTATACACCATCGCATTTTTTGTCTAGTCTATAACATCTTCCAGAGAGGCATTCCCCATATCCTTGAGTTGTGTTACAGTTATCAGGTCTTCGGTAAATAATGGCGTCTGTGAAGGCTACTAATCCAACGTATTCGAACGTTCTATTGACATCTATACCAAAGGTTGAAGATGGGAAGTAAACAACTTCATCCGGATCACCTTCATGGTACAACCAAGTGTGGGCATGAGTTCCATTCGTCTCTTCGTCGAAATGTGCCATTTTTGATATAACATTGGCGTAAGTCAATTCATTTCCTGCTTGCATCGTGAAGAAAGATCTATCTATACCTGAAAGAGCGACGTACGCTCCTGGTTCTCCGTAAATGGCTACTTCGACATTCTCACCCGTTCTAGATTTTTTATTGTTGATGAATACAGTGAAATTATTGCGTGAAATGCCATTTACAGAGAAGGTTAAAGAGTCTGCTACTACATTGCCATATTGCCCAACATGATATACGACTGCAGTTGCAACGGGAGCCATTTCCGCACTTAAAGGAACGGCGATCGTTTTTATGTTATGTTGCATATTGTCTTGTCCAGTTAAAAGTATTGTACCTTTTGCCATAATGAGATAGTTGAAAGTATCAATATAGAAATTAGTTTGAACATGGAATATCATGTATTCTCCAACTTTAGGTTTTTCTGTGGACGTTGAGATTTTTATGTGCTGTTGATTCGGCGATTCGTGAGCCAATAACAATAATTCAGCTTGCGTTCTGTAGCCTTCTCCATCGGTAAGATAAGCAAACACTTTCATAGAAGAGATATCATTGAGAATTTGTTGTGCTTGATTCGAATTATAGTCAAGTCCAAGTTGTTTTCTTAAATCGATTCTGGTAGACCAAATACCTTCATTGTCTGCCGAATGTTTTAGATATTGAGTTTCTAGCGTTCTATGACCACCTGTTCTCATTTCGATATCCGCGCGAATTTCCATTACAGCCCCTTTTAATTGCGTTGGTCTCAATACTGAATTATCATGAAACGACGCCACTAAATTCAAGGTAAATGGCATTGCTGGCTTAAAAACTTGCGGTGATCCGCCCAAAAATCGAACTTTTGAGGTAGAGTTATATATTCGGGCTGTGGAGTAACCTGTAATTATTTCGTCTAGAAATCTTTCACCGACCGTTGCAGTCACAGTGATCTCCACTCCGCTCGCAGTAGGTACAAAACTTAGCAATTCTGACATTGGATATCGGAAGTGATAAGTTCCATTAAAAAATCTCAATACAGGAACCTTATTATTCAAATAATTTGAAACTTTCAACCACGCAGGATAATACTCATCAAAATAAAAATATCTTTCTGCAGATTCAGAATCAGATTCTGTATATGCTCTATCTAGTGATCTAATGCGTGCTTTTAGAGTTAAGTTTCCCCTCACTGGTGCACCACTAGTATAATTTGCTTGGACTATACCATTTATATATTGATCATTATCAAAAAAGAATGCAGGCATTGTTACATTAACTTCGAAACGTGTTTGATAGTATTCCTCAACTAGGAAAGTTTTCTCTTCTACCTGGCTTTGTGCTATCACTTGTATAATCCATTCTCCAAAAACTGGTTGATCAGAAAGCTGGTATGATAAAGATACTGTTCCCAAATTGCTCTGTCTGCTTAACCATCTTCTCATTACTCTCCTATATGGATCTAACATGTACACATCTATAGGATTATTAAATGCTTTGAGTTCTGTATCTATGGGTATAGTTCTAAATCGCACAGTTTCTCCTTGCATATATACAGGTTTGTCCAATTGAATAAATATAGTCATTGATCTTTGTGAAAATGTAAGTTTGGTCTCATTTAAAAATGCTTGGCCACCAGTTAGACTATTATATGTTCCTTCTACTCTCAATCTGTATTCCCCATTAACAGACGTAGATGGCAATCCCATCATTAGAGTTTCTGGTATGCCTTCCTTTACTTCTTGAAAATCTGCAGCTACCTCCACTCCATTTCTTTGAATGGACGAACGTACTATGATTGGAATTGGGCTATATAAGACATTTACATCTACACGGTAGATCTGTCCTGGTCTAACCATTCGAGACGCGACCACAAAGTAGGTACTGCCAAAAAAAAAGTTTCAGAATTGTTATTTTGTTGTTACATTTCTGATTCATTTTGCTCTTATATATCCAATTTTTATACTTTGAATTATATTGAACATTATTGATATTAAAAATATCATTTATGATACACCACATGCATATTGTTTATCTCCAATCATATATATTTTATTGCCTAATTATTATATGTAAAACTTACGCCTCTTTTATTATAATACTGTCAGTTGGATTTCCAGAACCTCGTAATCCAAATCCAGCCTGATCTCTATCATCGAATCGATTCCAAGGAGAGCGCGTCGATTCAGTCGATTCTTGCGAGAACTGACTATTCCCGTAAGCGAAGGTTAATATTAAAATCCAGATCCACATTTTCTACAATATACGACAATTAACGATATATGACAATTTACAACAATTGATACAGTTTACTTCATGAAAAAAACGGAGCTAAGAAAGAAAATGTTGTGTTATGTATCATGATTAAAACTAGCGGTCAACGCCCAAAATACACATTTAAGATAACTGGTATTTCATTTTAATTTACCTTGGATGAATAATTTTTTCTAATCAAATCCAATCGTCACTGACACACATCTACGCAAAATTTCAAAAACCTTCTTTTTAAATATTAAACTTATCGTGTGTTTGAAAAAATTTCATGATTAGGAGTGGTCACTTATACTATTACATATACCTCACAAACACTGAATGTATTTGGTTGGGCACTCGGCACTCGACACTCAACACTCGGCACAGAAAGTAAGTTACTCACTTATACCTTACCCCTTACTCTGTCTAGAAACTGAGGTAGTCCACAGAGTGGGGATAGAACAGTGGGGAGCAAAGTCACCAACGCGCGGCAGTTGAATTGGCGCCATACTAATGGAGGGGCTCCAAAGCATACCGAGAGGATCAACAGGGAAAAATACATTTTTCTGTCTTTACTGTGGCCATGTGGCCATATATTTGTAACTTATGTGATCCGATAATCTTGTTGCATTTTATTCCTTAAAGCACTAAAAATTATTAAAATCTCCTTTGATCATTTATTTAAATTTGTTGTATAATTAACAAAATATATAATAATAATACTAAAAAATTTTTCATCAATCCTTTTACAATATTTATTTTCTTTCTACATTTTTTTCTATAAAATATGTACCTAGTTTTAGTTACATTTTGTTAATTTAGTCCCCTCATTTTTATTAAATAAAATGATTGCTATTTTTGTCCAGAACAAATATTACCAGCGCATCCAATATTGATACACGCTCTATGTTTTGCAGCAAATTTCGTATTGACGAAGACATCAGGCTCTTCTTCGACTAGTTTTTTGAACCCTCTCCGTCTTGCTCTATCGGCATCAAACGGAATTTCTTCAACGTATATATCCGGTATTTTCAACGGATAATTCGGGGGAATTATATTTAGAGGATATCCGTCTCTTTGTGATAATTCTTTACAAACTAATACTAAAGCAGCTATATTTACTGGTCTCGGAGGAGTATCCAATTCACTTTCCTCGAATATTTTTTCAGGCAAACAGAATTTCGTGCCCGTCTCTGCGGCTCTTCTTTCACTCTCGTCCGGATATGGTACTTTTGTACATAAAAATTCATTAAACGAACCCGTATTCTTAAATAATAATTTCTTCTCAACAATAGAAAATGGATTGATCGTATATGTCCCGAAACATATCATTCTGAAGAAAATACTTATGTAACCAGTTGGTTTGTATTCCTCGTCCACGAGACCAAAAGTGTTTTTTATCTCATATGCTTTTGGTAAGTGAAATAGGTCGTTGTCTGGCATCATCACGTGGTCACAAAGGCAACCTGGTATTGGGATTACTGAATTTCCTAATGGATCCTTTAATACTTCCTCGGGGCAAATAACGATCTCTCTGATTTTGTATACATCCAGTAACAATGGTTTCGATCGCATTTTTTCAACCAGTTCGCCAGGATTCCTTGTGAACAGGTATACTTTACCGACGTTGAAGTTCACAGTATGCATTCCCTGCCCGCGAATTATTTCCTTCGGTCTATCCGGTTTGGTCAAGAGGAAGTTACTTTGAAAGATTCGAAACAATGGCATGTCGATAAATTGTAGATCGACGCCTAATTCATTCGGCGAAATTTTCTGCAATTTCTCGGCGTACAAGGTAACAGAATCGATGAAGACTTCTAGGATGTATAGCTTCTTATCTTTTACAGAAATGCAGGCTTTGAGATTCGCGTTCATGTTAAATTTGGAAAATATTTTATTTTCATGAAAGAAGTAGCACGAAAGTTAATTAACGGGATAGTTTCGAATTTATTTAAAATTTTCTACATAAAATCAACTAAAATGTTTGCTTGTGTGTTAATGTTTCGATTAAAAAATGATGAAAACAATTGAACTGAAAAATTGATAATTCGCCACGTTTTATGTTATATTTCCATGATTAACACAAGCACATTCAGTTATTAAGTACAATCATTATAAACATAATCGGTGATAATATATTTTACATCAAACTGATATTTGTCATAATTATTTTCATGCAATGCTTTATATTTATCCTTCTCTATCTATTGGTTCCTTGATTTCGAATGGATTGTTGTGTATTTTAATATGGAAAATATATAACACGTGTATAAAACATGTATATATTATATGATATGATATGATTACATTATACATGTGTGTATAATATGTATATAACATGTGTTAAATTTCTACCCACTTCACTCAAATTCTGATACTTGCAATGATAATACATGAAATGAAATATATTGTTATCATTTCATGAATTATTATACATAAATGCATTTTTGCATCCATGCGTAAAAAAATATGTTGTAGATGATACCAGGTAATGAAAAATTAAAAATTATATTAATTATTGTATATTAAAATTTTTACATTATAAATTTTAACTAAGAAACAAAACATATTGACATAATAAAGTAAGATTTTAAATACGAGCAATACAAATGATAATATTATCTTTGATTGTATATGAAAAATTGTGTCTTAAATTTTTCCTAAGCATTTGAGCAGGTTATTTTTTCTAATTTCATTATCAAAAATAAAAAATATTCTTGGATTATATATTTTTGCCATATAAAAGATATTTATCTAAAATATATGGGTATCCCTTTCCCTATTTGATCGTGATGGAGTAGAACTAAATATATTTTTCATGTTCTCTCTCCACTCGGGTAGACGAAGTTCATCGTCACTCATTAAAATTCGATCTCCCCAGTAAACCTTTTGCTTAGTCGGAGTAGTGCTACAACTATCAGTAACATTCGCTGTATTGCTCATACTGCAAGTTTGATAACCAGTGTCTTGTATAGAATTCGAAACGCTCTGCTGTCCGGAAATACCTAGCATCGCATTAGTCTGTTGGATCATACAACTTTCGTTTGTACTCGTCTTGTACAATTTAAACGTGTTGGTAGCATTACTGTATTTAACATCAAATTCTGTAGTTTTGTTTTCGCAATTATGCTCAACGTGAATTGAGTTCTTTGCTAGGACTTTTATTTCTGTATGGGTATCATCTTGAGCACTCGCAGATTCGCTTTGTAAATTTAAAAGATCACCTGCCTTTTTGTCTGCATTTGTTTTGCTAAGAGATTCATCTAAAAGATATATCATGTAAGTATTATAAACAATAACATTATTTTAGTAGTCTTTTAGTAAAGGATAATTAAATATTAAATATTATTGATGTGGGTGAAATAATTACCTAAAGAGTAATTGTTTGATAGATCTTTATGTTGCATATTAGATCGATCTATGTCCATACTGAAGTTCAGTCGAGCAACCGAACGAGATCGAGATTCCCCGCTTTCATACGACATGTTATTTACTGTACTGTGTATGGGAGATATACTAGGATGCGATAAATTTCCTGTGTCTATTTGCGACGTGTTGTAATGACAATTTTCATTTGGCGAGCACTAGAAGGAAAGAATTTGATAATTTTTGGCTTCAAAACTCACATGTGTAATGTGTGTAAGATAGATAAAGATAATTAAAAAAGCTGTAATTTACCTTCAATGATGTACCATGAATTAACATTCCACTTTGTGGAGGACTGGAAGATAATACTAAAGATCCATCCATTTTTACTGGCGACGATAAAGAGATTGAAGAATCTTCTTCATTATCTACACAATCATCAAGATTAGAGAATAACTTCCGTCTTAAAGAGTTGTTACTCAAATTTGCATCGTCACTCTCAACATTTTGCTCCTAAAACAAAATAAGAGACGTTTAAAGGCGGAGATTTAATATTTAAGTAGTTTAAATGATGACTTTAGCTTTGTATTTACTTGAATGAATGTAAGATAAGGTTTTAACATTTCCATAACATGAGCTGGCAATTCAGATGGAAATGTTAATACTGTTTGACTCCATCCTAAAGCAATTAAAATCAAAATTAAACTATGAAAAATATTCCTTGATTAATTATAATAAATACCATCTTTTTTCAATTTGGAAGATTCTGAATTCAGTTCACTCGAACCCTTTATATGAGTATCTACATTAACTATTGTTCTATTTTCTTTCTTCTTTATCTCCCATGGGCTTGGAATTATTTCATTTTTATTAAAAAATTGATCAATAGCTGCTTGAGCTTTTATTTCAATCTCTGGGTCTACACAATGTATTTGTTGCATAGGAAATTCTTCTATTTTCGCTGGCTGTATTAATGCCAACTCATCCACACTCCATGCAAAGTCTGGTGATTGATGAGATGGATTTGAAACCTAAGAATGTTATTAACAATTACACATAATCATTAGGAAATAATATAAAAAATGATTCTATTAAATCATTTTACAAAGAAACTAAATCTTTGGTTTTAATAAAAAATTTAGAAAATTACCTTACTGAACACAGTTGGACTAATCACAGATAAATGCAGTCTATTAGTTAAATCAGTCTCAAATGGATTCCTTACTATAAATTTTGTTAAACCTGAAGGGGGTGTAATGTGATTTGGAAGCACATTAAAGGAATTTGTATTACTTCGATATGTTGTATGCTTTGAACTTGTATTATACTGCTTTACAGGAGTTTTATAAATCACAGGACTCTTGGTTGACAAATTTTCACATTCGTTTCCATTCTTAATTGGTGTTGTCCACTTTAGATGCTCCATTCCAATATACCTATAATTATCCATTAAATTCAATTTGTACTTAAATTATTTATCACTATTATGAAATTATTGTTACGAAACATGTTTTTTTTTATAATGCGTATAATATGGAAACAATATTTTTATTTATAAAAGACATTTAGAAATTATTTAATAAACTTACTTATATTAGTCTCTATTTTTTAACGTCTTTTTCAAGCTCGTTTTTCTAATTTCTGACTACAAGAACGTACAAATGGTACAAATATTTTATAGACTTCTCTTGTCGAAATATTAGATTTAATTTACGTATTCCGATTTTTACATTATAATAATATTACCATAATTCGTAAACTTGTATACAGTTTGAATTATTTTAAAACGAACATAATCAACAGTCATGGATAATGTAAGTATATACTAGAAGATAACCGAAGTATAAACGTTGAATACCAAGAATAGTTTGATAATTTCAATTAAATTACTATGCTCTGTCCATGGACTTATCTGAAGACACGTAATCCCTACCTAACCCCAATCTAGGGGAAATAGGTTACATTCATAAGTCAGATTATTCTTGACATCGTTGTAGGAATTCTGTTAGTCTGCATTGTGTTAAATCACCTTCGTGAAATACGTATATATACAAATTTGAAGATTTTTTATTGTATTTAATTAAAGTGTTTTAATTTGTGTTAAATCCCTAGAATATTTATCACCAAACTAGTGAAATAAATTTGGGAACCATCATCTTAAAGAAATTACAATGGTTTGTTCTATTTCATGTTTAAATGTTCTGTACAAATCATTTAATAATAATAATAATAGTAATATTAATGTAATAATAATATGTTAACATATTTTATTTCGTATTGTATTTGTGATACATGTAATGAAATTAATTAGTACTTGAAAAAATTATACATAATAAACAAACGTAACCTATAGAACTACAGACTTTGTTGATTGTTTGACAAATGATCAACTACAATATTGAAAAAATCCTGATTTTAATATTAGCAAATATTAGTAATGAATGTGAAGTGATATAATCGTTGATGTCAATATTTATCTGGTAAACTTGTTGTAAGTCTCACACTACATGCTATAATGCTATTAATGTAATTTGCAATTAGTAGAAGTAGAATATTAGATAAAGATTTGTATTAAAAAGGTCTCAATACATAATTATTGTGAAATAAATTTTACTATTTTAAACGTATCAAAGATAAAAATTTTATTATAAACATATTATTTATTTCTAATGTGATATTTGAAGTAGTTATAATTTATGCATTATTTTTAAGTTAAAAATAATATATCACTTATTATATTCTTTTGTATATACTTTTTCTGATATTTTAAAGAGTGGAGTAAAAATGGTTGCTGGCCCTACAGAACATGGCATACAAGCTGATGTAATATTTGTGATTGAAGGAACAGCTGTTAATGGAGCTTATCTTAATGATTTGAAAACAAATTATCTTACTCCTACACTTGAGTAAGTTATGTTTTCTATATTAGATCATATTGAGTATTTTTTATTTTGTTTATAGATGCTTATTAATTTAAGACATTATATTATATAGGTATTTCAGTCAAGGTGGTATTGAAGATAGAGAATATGTTTCTGAGGTAAAATAATGATATTAACCATTTTTATAATATTTCTTACCTTTTTAATTTCTTTGTTCTTATATTTAATAATAAAAATCATTTTTTAGCAAAATAGTACAACGTTATATGGAATAGTAGTATATCATGCTGCTGATTGTTTACCAGCACCATGTACAGAGACTTTTGGACCATATGCAAATCCTCATAAATTACTCCTTGTATTAGAAAAACTAGAGTATGTAAAAAATGTATCAGATTTTTAATTAATGAACTTTTAATCTTATTAATGAACATTGCTGATATTCTTGTTTGAATAGAATGGTTGGAGGGAAGGGGGAATGTTTTGCCAATATTGGAGAAGGACTTGCAACTGGACTTCAATGTTTTGAAGATCTACAATTAAGACGTGAACCAAATACAGCATCGCAGAAGCATTGTATTTTGATTTGCAATTCTCCTCCATATCAAACAGTCATACAAGAATCATATAAATTTGCCGGACACACTATAGAACAGTTGGCTTCACTCTATCAAGAAGTATATTGCAATTAATTGTGTGAATAGAAGTCGTCATTTAAGCCTATATAAAAAAATCATTTTTTTTCTTTCAGAGGAATATTAATCTTTCCATATTATCACCTAGAAAAATACCTGCCTTATTTAAATTATTTGAAAAAGCGGGAGGAGATTTACAATCGTCACAAACCAAAAATTACGCTAAAGATCCACGACATTTGGTCCTCTTACGTAATTATAATTTAAAAGAAAGACCTGTCAGTCCAACAATTGGTGGAGCTGTTCATACTACACCAGGTACTGCTGCACAGATTCCATTGAGCCCATTGCAGAGTAATGACAGTCCAAATACAAATCAAGTGCAACAGAATATTGCACAACCAACTCAACCTCAAGGTCCTCCATTTAGAGGTCAAACTCCTCAAAATATCGCTTCAGTTCATCAAACAGTAGTACCAATGGCTGCTGCGATGAACGCTGGTCGACCTCCTTATAATCCCCCAATATCCGCTCCGCCAACTTATCATCCTAATGTAACAAGAGCAGGTCACCCTAGATGGAGACCTTTCGTGACACCAGGGGCAACAGGTCCAACAAATACGCAAAGTAGTGCTTTAATAGCGCAATTAAATCAACCACCTCCTTCAATTGGGCTCAATGTAACTCCATTTGGACAAAGAATGGATGGTAAAAGTGATAGTACTTTGTAAAGTTTTATTACTTATCCTTGTTTCAAAAGTTAATGTGTTAATGTATATTTTATATCTTTAGTGACAAATAGCAATGTTATGGCTGCAAATGCACAACAGCAACAGCAGCAGCAACAACAACAGCAGCAGCAGCAATTAACTCAACAACAGCTAAGATTAACAATGCAATTACAACAACAACAGCAAAATGTCCAGCAACAAGCTCAAATGCCAATAACAGCTCAACCAACGCATGGACAAGCAGGACCGCAACTCACAGTATCCTGCGTGAGCCAATCTATGCCAACTCAAGTACCACAAACAGTTACAGCTTCGCAGACACAGGCACCTGTATCGTCGGTTACTCAACAACAGCAAGTAACGCACTCTCAGACACAGGTATCTTAAGTTGCTTAAATTATTTATAAGGAGAGACTGTTTTAATGTTGTAATGTTCGAATGTTGATTTTGAAACGAAAGGAAAAGATATGAATCACATTAATATAACTGTTTTAAAGGGTAATGTAACAGGTGGTACAGTAGGACCAGGACCACAAATTAGTACACCACGTGAGAGACAAACGATATGGCAAGGTATTATTGAATGGGTTGAAAAAGCTAAAACAACTCCAGATGCACCAAAACAAACTAGGCATCTTCCATGTCAAGTTTCCGCAAATTCCAAAGATGGAGATCCAGAATTGTAAGTTTTTGTGGATGTTAATAATCATAAATTGTTATAAATCAATACATTAATATATTATAGGAAAGCTGATACGTGGCCTCAGAAATTAATTATGCAGTTGATGCCCAAGCAGTTAATAGGAAATATTGGTGGAACATATTTGAAAAATTCCAAGTCCGTTTTGTTTCATCCTACACCTTGCGAAGCGTTAGAATCGTTAACAAAAGTTATGAATTCGGGATTTGTTAGTATATTACACTATATGTTTTCAGTACAATAAAATGAAAAAAATATCTTTAATTACTGATAAAAAAATATTTCAGGCAGGTTGTGTTCATTTCACATTCTTGCAAGCAGCTTGTGATATAAAAGTACTTATCCTCCTCTACACGGCTGAAAGAAGAACCTATTTGGGATTTATTCCAAATGATCAAACAGGTTTCGTAGATCGTCTTCGAAAAGTGATTCAGCAACAAAAAACATCGCATGCTTCTATGAGACAAGGACAAGTAAGTAAAAATTTATACTCTAAGGTATATTAAATGTTTCTTGATATATTTACAAATATAATTACTATATCAGGCTGGAGCTGCTCAAGGAAACGCAATAGCTGGCACAATGCCTACTACAGGTACTTCTCAAGGAGGTATACTTATGTCACAAACAAATACTATAGCTATGGGAGGAGGCCAAATAACTCAGAACGTAGTTTCTACAAATGCTCCACAACAAACATTAACTTCATCTGCTGGCCCTCAGAATCAAATAAACATGCAGGTAAGGTTTACCACATGTATACAATGAAGTAAAATGGATTTAAAACATATATAATTAGCTTTATACATAGATAATATATTTAAAGAATTATGAGTTAGAAACAAATGCTATCTATATAGATATACACAGATATCAAAATGAAAATAAACCATTCGTTTTATTGATACGCTGATAGAGTGGTGGTATTACTGGTCCCCAAGTGGCCCCAGCTTCTGGTACGATGATAGGACAACAAAGACCACCATTTGATGACATAGAAATAGCTAGGCAACAAAATTTATTAAAAATTCAACAACTACGGCAAACGTTAGAAGCTGCGCAGCAACAGGAGGCGCAATATAAGTCACAACTGGAAGTAAATGTAAGCCAATAAATATAACAACAAAATACGGAAAAAAACAAAACACATATTAAAATAAATTTCACAGAATTCATATAATATAATTAACTTTATAGATTCAACAGAATCTAGAAGTAGCACAGCAACAGGAAATGCAATATAAACAACAGTTGGAGGTGAACTGTTTTTTAGAAGTTATCATACATTCTGTTGTATAGCTTCGCGCAAATAGGGAAACGAAATAAACGAATAAAATTTGTTACAGGCTCAACAAGCCCAAAGAGCACTAAATCCTGCCGCTATGACGAATCAGCAAGCAAATGCTCCAAGGTTGATGAGGCCTGTCCCGAATATAGGTCTTAGGCATTTATTGCAACAAGTATGGATTATCATGTTCATTATCATAATTATGAATTGGTAATTGTATATCAGAGTTAAATTATATCTGCAATTAAAAATAATTTGGATTTTGTAGCCACAACCGCCATATAGACAGGTACTTGGATTACAGCAACAAATGGTTCCTAGAGGGCAAATGGCGACAAGAGCTATGGCTCCTGGTAATCCACAAAATCAGCAATTCGAGGACGTCTCTAATTATGATTTCCTTGGATAGATAATTTAAATAAATATTTTTTTTATGGAAATTCTACTGTAAATATTTGATTAGAATAAATTACACATCGAAGAATACAAGAGCATTTTAATGGTCTTTACTTCCAATATAAATTTTATAATATTTATGTATCTCTAAATATATACACGCATATAACAAAACAATTTATAAAATACATATATTCATCTTTATACGAAAAAGAGAAGTTACTACATATATATTAGGATC